ATAAGAATCACCTGAGGATCTTGTTAGACTGTAGGTTCTGATTCAGTACATCTGGGATGGAAAGGCAAATTCTCAGCTGGGGGTCAAACCAGAATGAACTGGTTCGAAGTCCTGAAAAAAACCAATGAGTATTAGGCCTACTTCCAACTTCGAAACCCTATGATTTCATGTTCTCATCAGTCTCTTCGAGCTGAAAATGTCTATCATTCAGGAAGTGTGTCTTCCTAGGAAATAGACAGGGTAGGTAGCACTCTATCCACCCCCCAGGGAGAGGAACAATGGAAGTTTGCCTCCCAAGGGCTGCAGGGTGCCAAGAGATTGTAGTTATCTAAAAAGATCCTGGGCCATTCTCCATAGAGACCAGCACAAAGGCAATGAAGTATGAGCAGGAAGCCAATTTTTAGAGTCAACCATCGATATTTTCTGTCACCAGAGTCCTGAGTCCCACTCCGCAATCTTTCTGATGTTGGTAATGAGCACGCCGCAGGTCTGGGAGGAAAGGAGATGCATTAGGGCCCCCAGCTAGACAGGTGAATCATGAAACAGTCCCTGCCCCAGCCACCTCCCTAGGCAAGCTTGGGGTCATCCTCACCCCAGTGGTGGCATGGAGGTGACTTTCTGGGAAAACTGGCGCAAGATCACAGGCTGGTAGACATGCAGGGCCTCATCTGAGCCTGGCAAGAGATGTTTTGCTGATTTAAAGCAAGCTGTCTAGAGGTATGACTGTTTAGAACATGACTCTTGGATGTGAGTGATACAGTTGTCCCAAACCTCAGCAGCAGCGTTAGTCTGCCGTACTTTTATCCCCAGCAGGAAACTTCATTTCCAGCAGGTCTTTAAAACAGAGGGTTCATGCTAACACATTTGTTCTTCAGGAACAGCCAGAAAAGTAACACCGCTGAGCGCTGAAAGAACTCTTGTCTAGACACAATGACGTTATCTCAGCTTAAGGAAGGCCACAAAGAGAGAAATGCAAGCCAGGAGAAAGAGCATGGGCTGTGGAGTCTGACAGTCCTGGCTTTTAATCCTGGCTCTGCCATGTACTACCTATGTGATTTGAGGTTCAATATTTAACCTCCTTAACGCTCAGTTTCCTTATCTGTATAATGGGAATAATAATAGGACCTACTCCATAGAGTTGCTGTGATGATTCCACAAGAGTACCGTGTAAAACAACAGAAAAGAGTAAGTTCCAGAAATAACAGAGATTGCAGCCACTGGGGTCCAAAGTTGCTGAAAAGGGGAACTTTGAGTTCAAGCACAACTCCTCAATGGTGACTCCGCTCCCCAAGAGCTGCCGCTCGTGTCTCCCTCCTTCCCTGAGGATCTGCACCACATCTGGGTATACTGAATTATTCAATCCCATATCGCCTATCATTTCATTTGCAAAGGGAAAAGTCAAATATCAGCCTGGGAATTTATTAGCTGCCTGATCTTAAGCAAACACTCATCAACCCTGGCCTTCAATGGATGAATTATTTGGGAAATAGAGGCAATGCAACGTCTCTCTCCTCCAGAGTTGTGATGAGAAGTAACAACAGCATGTCACCATCTACAAAGCTCTACACAAAAATACATTCTCCTCCTCCCCTGCTGCATGTCTGGAGAGAAGCTCAGAGCACAAAGCCATCCTCAGTCCTGGTAGGCCTGTGATCTGGGGCCTTGGAAGCTGGGAATGAATGGGCCCGTGGAAACATAAGGGAGACCAATGAGCATTTCACAGGCCACGGAGAAAGGCAGGCTGAGTGATCACTATTTGCAAATCCACACTAACTGGCCATCATGGAGAGAAACGTACCAGTCCACCGTGAATTTCCCATAGTTCGTTTTTAATCATGCACTAGTCCCTCATAAATTTCCTGTTCCCTAATACTCCATTCTCCAGCACTAACAGATACAATGAGGGGCCTGCAGGAGTGTTTCCAAGAAATGTCATTTCCAACAGTTGTGCAAAGCAATTTCTTGGAGCCGTACTGGGGGAGGCCATCGTGTGTGTGTGCTGAGGGTACCATCTGACACACTTCCTGAGTGCAGCTGCAGAACACAGTATGATTCTGTTTCTCTCATGTTCTTCTTCGTTCTCTAATGTCATCGAACCGGTGGTGCTTTATCGTGTTCCTTTCCAGGTGCACCTGCCGCGGAACAACACTCACTCACCTGCCCCAGGGCTGCTCTTGAGATTTTACAAGGGCTGGTGCAGATGGGGAATATCTGGGTGGTGCAAAAAGTTAACGTGCTCAGTGGCTAACTGAATGATTGAAGGTTCGAATCCACCCAGAGGTGCCTTGCAAGAAAGGTGTGGCGATCTACTTCGGAAAAATTACTCATTGAAAACCCTCTGGAGCGCAGTTCTACTCTTACACACGTGGGGTCACCATAAGTCAGAGTCGACTCAACGGCACATATAATATATATATATATGTTTGGTACAGATGGACCTACCTTATATATGTCATTGCAGGGCCATTTGCAGGCAAACACCTGGCTGCCCACCCATGGTTCAAGGCACAAGAGGCCTCAGAAATGTGGTGACCCCAAGAATTAAATTATTTGATCCCTTCCTTGAGGGGCAGACAGGGTCCACACCCAAATGAGAGAGCCAAAGCTCAGAACCAAAGTCAGAGAGTTCTTCAGTGGTGACCAGGACTTGAGCTCAGGATTTTTCCACCACTTTTTTCTGTCTGTGTTTCATTTTTACTAAAAAGTAGAGAGTGCAAACTTGAAAGACACAGCACAGGACTGTCAAAAGAGAGGAGAACAATTAACGAGGAGGTAGATGCGTCCTTCCACGCCAGATGCTCCTCCTCCTCTCCCGATGCTTTTCCCCACGGAGTTGGCGCAAAGACCCTGGGAGACAGAGTGGCTGGCTTTCACCTTAATTAGCGCAGCAATTTGCTAAATTTTGTTTTTCCCTTTTTAAGAGTGTTAATCAATTTTAGCTCAGAATAGATTGGAATGGCATGCAAATTACTGTGACAATCCCCAAATGCTAAATTCTGAACATCTCGATCAACCTCAGAGCCTGAAATAGGTGAAAATCAAAAACTCTGGCCAGCATCTCTGTGATCTATTTAAAATATTATGACTCTGAAATGAAAAGATAATGGCTTTATGAGGTTGGGAACAAGCAATTTGCCAGAATCAGCCTCATGCCTAGGTGTTTAGTCCTCCCCAAGGTGACTGGAGACAAAGCATCAAAGTATATCTGCAAAGTTGAAAGTTCCTCTAATAAAAGCAATTTGTTGAATCCACAAGCATTACAGTACCTACTGTGCACCAGAAATAAAAGAGCCTACTGCTTAAGAAGGTTCCAAAGTTGGGCAGGAGACACAAGTGAATAGAAAATTTCTTCCTCCTGCTTGAAGAAGTCAGAGAAAGTTCTCAGAGGGGGTGGCCGGGCAGCTGAATCCTCAAGGATGAGTATGGGTTGAGACAAGATAGATGGGAAGGGCACATGAGATAGATGGAAGAGTATAAGCAAAGGCTCAAACCTAAGAGAGAACCACAGGTGGCTTTTAGAGCTAAGTAACAGAGTACATTTGCAGGAATGACAAGAAATGAGACAGAAAGAAGCGTCAAAGGTCCGAATATACAGAACTTCTTTAGCCAGGTTGTGAAATTTCCATCTTGATGCTAGTAAAATGACACTACAGAAAGATTTTAAGCAATATGGCTAGAAGGGTATCATTTGGTTGGGATCCTCAAACCCAATAAAATCTTTAATATGTATTCAACACAATCTTTTAAAAGCACATTCACGTATATTCCTCTCATTTAAGCCTCTTTATTACCCCACAACCAGTTGTCATCAAGTCGATTCTGACTCATGGTGACCCCATGTGTGCAGAGTAGAACTGCTCCATAGGGTTTTCAAGGCTGTGACCGTTAGGAAGCAGATCACCAGGCCTGTCTTCCAAGGTGCCTCTGGGTAGGTTCAAACCATCAACCTTTCAGTTAGTAGTCAAGTGCTTAACCATTTGGCCACCCAGGGACTCCGTTACTCCATGAGTTTGATGTTATAACCATCTTTGTGCAGATGAGAAAACTGAAGATCAGAAAAGTAGGCAATTTGCTTTGTGTTTCAAGACCAGTAAATGACAATACATGAATCTGAACCAGGTCTATCGAATTCTGAGTTCAGCATTTACCCCACTGGGTGACAGAATTCTCTAGATAATAAGTACAAAAAATCTGTATCTCATATGTATAAGGCCAGTGGTCTCCAGAATCTATGCAGAGCCTTGGTGGCTAGAACTGCACAGACAATATGGATTCTGTGCCAATAAAGTGGTTAATTTAATGCTTTGTAATAAAACCAGATTCAGCTGGCAAATAACCTCAGTTATATACTGGACATCTTCAGTTGGGACTGAGAGTTCTGTCATTGCTATGGTCTACTAAATCACACGTAAGAAGAACTTCTGGGTTGGGGAGCCCAGGGAGGCACCTCTCCTTCCGCCCATACCTTGAGCTCGTCCGCATTGTAGAAGTCAACACGTACGGCGGGCACCATCCAGGTCTGGAAGAGCATGGCCAGGATCTGCTCCGCAATGGTGTCGGCAATGAGGTGGAAGTGCAGAGGGTTCCGCCTGTGGGAATTGAGAGGAAGAAAAGTGAGGCGGCGGAGGTCAGGCAGCTGAAATCCAGCAGCAAAAACACAGGTGATCCTTGACAATCCATGAGACATGGCTGGTTTCTAACAGCAACTGGGAAAGTCCATCAGGCACCTGACCAAGCCAGCGCTTACTGATGAGGATGTCAGAGCTGAGAAGAGAAGACGTCTCTCCCTACCTGACCATTTCACAGACATGGCAACCAAAGAAAAAAAAGACAAGAGCTGTGATAGTCAACTCAAGCCAACCACCATACCTTTTATTAGGGTATTTGTACTTCCAAAAATCCTAGATAGAGCATGCTGTAACAATCTGCCCAACCCTTTACACCTACTACCTGAGCATATCCGCATTAATGCAGAACACATCACCAGAGGGCAAAGTCTTTAGCCTGGATGTACGAAGCTGGTAAGATGTGTCTTGCACAACACAGTGCTAAGTTCTGTTTTCTGCTTGTTCCTCTCCAAAGAGAAACCATGCAAGAAAGATGAAGTCGTCTGGGACTCCCATCACTGAATATCAACTCATCCTCAGTTTTAATATTTCCACACCTTTCATTCATTCAACCTCAGTCAACCAGCCTTTAATGAAGTAGCACCCAAAATATAAAACAGCATTAAACCCCACTGCCGTCAAGTGGATTCTGACTCATAGCGACCCTATAGGACATGGCAGAACTGCTCCATAGAGTTTCCAAGGAGCACCCGGGGGATTCAAACTGCTGACCTTTCGGTTAGCAGTTGTAGCACTTAACCAGTATGCCACCCTTACACGGTGTTAAACAGCAAAACTTCAGAATTGCAATCAAAATGAGTTCGAATGCCAGTTCTGTCAGGTTGCTGACACGGTCCCAGCAATCCAATCCAGGCTGACCAGCAGCTGCACTCCTGTGAGTCTCACGGTACCATCAAGAGAATGCAGTTCCTGTAAACTGCACCCTTCAGCATCCTTCTCTAGGGACCCTGGTAAAAGCACCCACAAACACAGCCTAAACCACTTTGCTTGGAGCCTCGGTGTAAATCGGAATTGTATCCTGAGCTTTACACTGGTAAAAGCAACTGCTAATCAGAGAGTCCCACCTGAGGCCCCTCGAAACTAAGAAGGTCCAATTACAACTCTCATAACACTACCAAGTTACTAGTTATCAGTGGAGTGTTTGTTCAGCACATGTCTCTCCTCTAGAATGTAAGCTCCATGGGGACAGAGACATTGTCATTCATTGCTGTATTTTAGCATCTGGAACAACGCCAGGCATATTAAGTAAGCGCTCCCATTTGCTCTGAATGGTTACATGGACGAATAAGTAAACCAGTTTTTGAAACAGAAATCATTTTGCCCTCTCCTGGCCCCTTACATGTTCTTCTTCCTGAATTTCCTGCCTGAGTTGAAGGTGCACCATCCACCCAACCTCATAAGCTAGAAACGTGAGCATCACCTGGGTTCCCTCCCCATCCACAATGTCCACACCCAATCAACTGCCAAGTCCTGGGAGGCACCTTAGTCTAATGGTCAGACTGGTTTTGCCTTCTTTTGGTTCTATCACAAACTACTGATGTGACCTTGGGCAAGTTTCTTAATACTTGAGTCTCAGTTTCTGAATCTGTAAAATGGGGATGAAAACAACAGTTCCTACCTCGTAGTTATTGTCAGAATGACAGAGTTAAAATAAATGAAGCACTTAGAACAGCGTCCGGCAGGTAGTAAGGACTTAATAAATGTTAGCTATAATTATCGTATCTAACCTTCAATGATTTCTCGTGACTATGTTCACTTTGGAAATCCTGGTGGTGTAGTGGTTAAGAGCTATGTTTGCCAATCAAAAGGTTGACAGCTAGAATCCACCAGACGCTCCTTGGAAACCCTATGGGGCAGTTCTACTCTGTCCTATAGGGTTGCTATGAGTCAGAGTCAACTCGACGGCAATGGTTTTTACGTTCACCTCTTCTCTCCCTGCCCCTAAGCTTGCTCCCTTCAATATGTCCTCCATCCTATAATTCCTGTGATGTCTCCAAAATGATCACACAGTTCCCTGCTCACCGTACAAGGTATAAAGTTCAGCCTTCTGCACGGAGCTAACGGATCTTCGATGATCTCACTCCATCCACCCTCCAAGCTCACATCTTCCCACTCCCTCCTCAAACCCCGCATTCTCTTTCCCAGCCCTTCACGTGGCTGACTCCTATTTAGCCTTCAGGATGGCTCCGCTGCCACTACAGCTAAGTGGTCCTGTCTCCCTCCTCCACCACTCTCTCATTCATCCGTTATTTGTCCGTCTGTCTCCTCTCCTCTAGCTTGTGAACTATCTACAGCAGGGTTTCTCTAGTTTCAAAAACCACCTACTTGTGCATTTACTGCTCTATCCTCAGAGCATAGAATAGTGCCTGGCCATGGCTGCAGCTCCAGGGATTAGCCATGCTCTCCTACAGGCTTGTCTTCATGCTGTCACCTCTTCTTGGACCAATTACACGGTGCCTTGATAATTGCTTCTGGCCTTCAGTTCTCAACTTAGACACCATGCCTTCAAGGAAGCCATTTCACTGGGTCGGGTGCCCTTCTTATGGCTGAACTATCCTCTTGCTGAATTCTGAGCTCAGTACTAACCCCACTGGGTTGGACTGTAATGATCTACTGACTATTCACTTGTCTGTCCTCTGCTAGATGACATTGTCATCAGGAGCTGTATTTTATTAATAATCTTATCTCGATTTTTGCACTGTGTGTGTGTGTGTACATCTGCACCCAGTAATTGCTTACTGAGAGAAAGAATAAGTGGACAAGTGAATAATTATTCAAAGAAATTCAAACGTCCCCACAGTTTGACACTATTACCAGGAAGTTAGGTATAGAGATGCTTAAAATTCTTTAATGGCCCATAGCAAAGACTGTGAATTTTCTCCAAATATCTCCTCTCTCATTTTTCTTCAGTACTAGACATATGGATATATCCAGAAAAGAGACCAAATTTTCCCTGCCTCCTTTGCGGATAGGCATGGCTATGTGACCAAGTTCTGGCCAATGTGGAAGTACAAATAGATTTCTGGGAACAGCACGGTACTCTCCCTCTTCCTTCTTTACTACTGAGTGGAGCTTAGGTATCTCACTTAGGATAAACTAGGGGTGGAGGCTAGAATGATCCATATGTAATGGGTAAGGGAGAGTCCCACTGTGATCACAGTTGAAAGAACATGCTACAATTCAGGAATAACAGCCATAAAGGTGGGATTTCATTCTCCATATGCATGACTTCTGAATCACATTTCTCAGTTGGTTCCTAACTCTAAAACCAAAAAACCAAACCTGCTGCCATCGAGTTGATTCCGACTCATAGAGACCCTACAGAACGGAGTAA